CCAGTTTCCATGTTGAGCTGAATGCGCTGCATTAATCTGCTGCGAAAGCAACGTTTCAGGCTTACGATCACACCTTAGTCCAACGGCTGAATTAGCTATGTGCAGTTTGGAGGGAAGTAGTTCACCTCTGTGTTGGTTAGAATGTCATGCATGCAATGGCCCGAGCAGTTGTAAAACAGCAAACACACCTTGCCGCGTTGCATCTTAATGTCGTGGTCAAAGGTGGCAACCCATTTGGTGAAAAGTGCACGTGTTGCCTATGCTTTTATTATTGACAACATATTAAACTGGAAGACCCTAGTTTCTTTGAAGGATCGTGGCTTGGCACTTTTGCTAATTACAAGGGGCTAAAACTTTTCGGAGCTTTCCATGTTACCACACAGTAGCACAGTAGCCCTGTTTTTGCTGTGTTTGCCAACGTGGCAACATTGCCCTTTTATATCAAACGTCTTTGAAGGCAGCGACTCATGAAATAAACCAGTCTCGTCAGCGTTATGAATTTTGATGAACTGTACTCTTCAAGGATGCTTTTGGCATCATTGGACATCCATGCCGATGCAGCTTCACCATCTGCGTCCGCCGAATCACCAGACAGCACATAGCCAACAATGGCATGTCGGGCTTTAAAGTGGCTAAGCCACCCCGTGCTGGCTTTAAAATCATCAACGCCAAGCAAGCACATGTAATTCAGGGCCTTCTGCTGTGCAATCGCTCCGCTCAGTGGCACATTCTTCACCCATGCTTTCACAAACCAAGTCTAGACGGCCTTGTTAGGTTCGTCATGTTTGGGTAGCATCACTTTCTTGTGCTGTGCAGACGTACCTGAAGCGAGTGCCGTCTGGATGGAGTCATGAAAGCTTTGTTCTTCAGCACCGTGGACAGTCAGCTCGGTAAAATGCCGAAATCATGGGCGATGTTCGATTTTTTTTTTCCACTTTCTGCCTCGGGAATCACCCATACCCATGCCTTCTCGTTGAGAATGAGAAATTTACGCTTCTTCAACGGCGCAGCCATTTCCACAGAACACACACCAGAAAAAAAAACAAAACAGAGTAGAGCGTTATAGAATTTGGTCAGTCGAACTAGAGGTAATAGCAGCAATTGAGGCGATCCCGTGGGATCTTGTGCAGTCTCGCACAGCCGCGTGATGACCATGCGTGGCTATGAATCACAGTGGCGCAAATTTATGAATCGCAGTGGTTCAAAGTTTTCGCGCGATTCCTGTTTCGTGTACGAAGACTTCGTTGAACCGCAAAAAAATGACTTTCACAGCTTCGGAAGGGCCTTCTGATGAGAGTACTCGATTGTTCACTTTCAGTTCAGTCCAAGAATTTTTCTCAAAAAGTTCGTTGAAGCGGAAATACAGATCAAAATGCATTCATTATATAGAAAATTTTTTTGCATTACTTTCTATAGGCAGCTGACGGGAAATCAGAATATGTTCGTTGTTGTCGAAATTCTGTTGTAACGACTTTCGTTGTAGCGGTGTTCGACTGTATGTGGCTCATAAAGAGTTTGAAGGCTGACAACGAAGGAGCAGATTAAACAATGAAGAAAGAGCCCGTTGTAGCCCGTTTTCGGTATCCTTGTCTTTATTTGTACACACAAGTTTACCTTCAAATATGAACCAACTCGCATAGCTGAAAGTTGTATTTTGCGACTATTTTTCAGCCTCTTGAACCCCTGCTGTCAACACACCAAAGTACCGCTAAGGAGCTCCACTAGACTGAGGGCACCCAAGCGGTTTTCCAGGACATCGAGACGTCTTCCGACGCGGCGCTCCTCACTCACATGCAACCGGTAGTTCAACAGTGCGTTATGGTAAACATCAAATGCAGCTGTGGGTGCCGCACTTCAACAATGCATCAAAGGAGTATGGCAACCAATTGCTTTCTTTTCCCGGAAACAGACGGCCACTGAACAGAGGTACAGAACCTTCAGACGCGAATTGTTGGCCGTCTATGCGACAGTCCAGCACTTCCGGCATTATTTTGAAGGTACCGGGTTATTTGTCCTCACAGACCACAAACCTCAAACATATGCCTTGCGGTCACTGAGTACTGAGGGAGACGTCCATATCGCATGTGAATTGTGGCAGATGTCATACATACCTGAACTTACCACTGATATCTGCAATGTCAAAGGAGTCAACAACGTTGTTGCCGATGGTGTTTCGCGTAGCCCAGTCACCGCCATAACCTCACCCACAAAAATAGACCACAACAAAACGGTGGCTGTTCCAACGCTATGACGACAAATTGTGCCGCCTAGAAGAAATGTCGACGTCGCTAAACCTGCACTGGTTCCCCTCACCATGTACAGAAGGCCTTTGCTGTGACAAGTCTACTGGCAAGCCACAACCATTTGTGACCATGCATCTTTGTCCTGAGGTATTTGCATCGCTGCACGCAAAGTCGCACCCGGGAATCCGGGCTTTCCAAAGGTTCCTCACAGCACGTTTAGTATGACCCGGCACAAACCGTGATTCCTGACAATGAGCTTGTGAGTGTCTCTCGTGGCAGCGCTCCAAGGTACAGCATCACACTGTGATGCCGTTTGATATGTTTCCCAAGCCAGATGCTCAATTCGACCATGTGCGTGTCAACGTCGTTGCGCTGTTGCCACCCTGTTAGGACCAAATGTACATGTTAACTTGTGTAGATCGATTCACGCATTGGGCAGAGGCTATTGCCATTCCTGACATCACAGCCGAAAGTGGTGCCTCTGCTTTCGTCAGTCACTGGCTCAGTCACTTCGGCATGCTGTAGGCCACACAACTGACAGAGAAAACCAATTCGAGTGCGCATTATTGACCATGTCTGACGAAGCTCAATCAGAATGACGGCCTACTATCCAATGGTTGAGCGATTCCACCGGCAGTTGAAAGTGGCACTCATGGCGAGCGAGCAGCACCTTTGGGTCGAAGCACTGACCATTGTACTCTGGGGCATACGCATCGCTCTCAAGGCAAGCCTCGGATGCAGCGCTGCAGAACTAATTTACGGCAAGATCCTACGTTGCTTGGCGAGTTCTTTGCGCCTGACGGGCAACAAGCCCACATTCCTGCAGGTGACTATGCATAATGCATTAAGCCTACGTCAGATTATGATGAAAGTTTGGCCTACACCTCCACTACAGCCCACAGAAAGAAAATCATACGTGAGCAGCGAACTCGAGTCCTGACGCCACATTTTTCTGCATAACGATGCAGTATGAAGACCACTACAGGCACCGTAAGATGGATCGTTCAGTGTTATCTGCATGGAAAGAAGACGATTATCTTAGAAAGGCGCGGCCTCCAAGAAGTTGTGTCAATAGACAGAGTTAAGCCGGCACATATGGAAACCAACTGGCCTGCAAGAGCAATCTCCACCTATCCACCTGAAACCTGCAGAACAGTATCAAATCCCACACCAATGAGAGCGACGGACATGGGAATTCCACAAGAGACTGAATTTTACCACACATGCAGTGAAAGAGTGACAGGCGTGCCAGATCACTTAACCTATAGCGGCGCAATAGATAGAGCTTCCAGCATGTCGCAGACATTCTTTTCCCTCCATTCCTTTCCCTCCTTCTGCATTGCCAACCCTGGGGCTGTGAGGGAAGAAAAGGAGAATCGGTCCAAGAGTCTACCGAGCTAACTAACAATAAAGTTAGTTTGTATCTAGACTCTCAGCAACACACTTCGTCTCTCCGTCACCTGTGTGCGCCAACCACACAACAGCACCGGCATCTGTGTGACCATCTGTTGGGGCCATTGGGCTCATGTCACTACTGCATGTAGATCTCTTTAGTTAAAAACTGTGCAAAATAAATTCTCACAGAACCAGCCCTAATTCGGTATGATTTTTCGTTCATGTTTATTTTGCAGTGCTTTTTTAGATGAGAAGCAGCTCTTTGACTAGCCTGTGTAACGCTGTCCGTTTGTGTCGAAGTGCTAACGCGCTGCAACGCATTTCCCCCACCACAGCTGTTGGAATGATGACAAGTAGGTCATGTTGCAGCTGCGTGTTGGCGTCACTTTCTCTCTCGCTCACAGCAGCTGCGGGCTCCTCCCAACACACCCAGGGGGTGTTGCTCATCCGCCCGCTGGCAACACACACTTCTCTATTGCTTCACCCTCTCCACCGCCCAAACCCTCAACGGCACGTCGAGTGCAAACACTCTTTCGGCTGATTTATCTGCGATAATACTTTCACGAAACCCAACCCGCCTCCCCTGTCCTTGCTTTACAAAGAAACATTTTTTCGAGTAAACGCTACGTTGAGTTTCGCTTCCAACCGTTATTCCAGCACCCGTATCGACGCCCGTTTCAGCCGGGTCAAGGGCATGCGCACCACTGCTGCTTTTCTTCCCATCATGGTTCCCTTCGAAAAGATGGCCCTAATTTTCCTAACTACTAATACGTATACTAATTGGCTCCCATTTACTCATTCCTAAGGTCTTTCTAGAATCAGTGGTGACAATATGATGCTTAGTGACGCAAAAATCTAGGTCCTGTGAACCACAAGATAGCAGTCATATCGGTTAACTTCATTGAAGCTAGCAATTACAGGCAACATCTATTTTAGGGCTTCCTGCATGGAAGCAGTGAAGCAGAACACAGTCAAAAGCAGTCCATGGTATATCTACAACACAGCACCACAGTGGCACAAGCTGGTAGCCTTTTGAAACTACAAAAGCATTAAAAAAAAGCTCAGAAGCTTGCATTGATACATTTGGTAATAACAATGGGAAAACAAAAGGCAACTTGCCTGACCTACTGCGTGGTTTAGGAGCAATTGATGTCAGACTATTTAAAGCAGCAAGAGTTAGCCCCAAATAAAGCACAAAATATTCTATAGTTGAAAAAATGCGTGCAGCAATATCATTTCTGATATTATGTCTTATTGTCATCTAGTTCACAGAACAATTTTATTTTGCCTTTTCATAGTGGCTACCAAAGACTGCATTTCAGTTGGTCATTTAAATTAGTCACATGCAATGCACATCCTCACCTGGTGTCGGCGCAGAGGGCTGTCAGCAGAAATAACATCCGCATGTCAAAAAACTGAAAAAGAAAAACCAAAATGTGGTTATAAGAACAAAAAATTGCCCGCAGCTTCTCTCGGGGGAACACTGAGGAGGATGCGGAGCATATAACTGGTTAACGGGGTGTTAAAGTGCAACTTACTTGGGTCGATGGCTAAATTGGTTAACGTGGTTGTGAAATGGGGTGTTAAATTACGACTTACTTGGGTCAATGGCTAAATTGGTTAACGTGGTTGTAGGAGGGGGTGTTAAATGAGTGAACACGTACACACGTATGCGAAAGGGCGGCGCTGGTCGAAGGGACGTCGATCATTGTGTTTGTGGATTCGTTGGAATTCATTTCACCGCGACCTTGGACGTCGACGCGTCGTACAAACCAACCGACGAGCGGCAACTGAGCGAGCGAGCGCCGACCTTGAGTATATATACAGCGCGACGGCGCATGCACTGTCAGCTGTCGAATGTTCGAGAAGGGGGAGAAGCGCAACGGCGCATGCGCGCGCGTCAGCTGCCGATGTTCTCGAAGCGCGACGGCGCATGCGCGCGCGTCAGCTGCCGATGTTCTCGAAGCGCGACGGCGCATGCGCGCTACATTATACAGCTAGCGAATGTTCGTGAAGAGGAGAAGCGCACGCGGTGTGTAGAGGATGAAAGGTGCACAGATGGTGGAGGAGTGAAGCGCGCGCGGTGTGTAGAGGAGGAAGGGATGCACAGATGGTGGAAGAAGGAGGAGGAAGCTTGCGGACGGCGCCGCACTACAAGCCTCGAGTATTAGATGCTCCGTATCTAATAATAGTTGGTAGTACAGTGGAACACGGATATATGCAACTTGAAGGAGACTGGGAATTACTTCGATATATGAAAAATTTGATATAAAAAATAGAGGCCCCAAGAGCTTACCTGTAGCGGATCGTCACCTACCATAGGCACTTTCAAGAATGACAACTAATTCCGCATACACGCCGCAACAGAATAATTTATTTGCCTGAAAAAAATCACTAATCTTGGCCTGCATCTTTGTTTCCGAAATTTTGACGCTAGTTTCGATAGAATGGCAAATGATTCCAAACGCTGCTGCCGCCTCAGCGGCAGAGTACGCGCATGTAGCCAGCACCTTGTCCGGACGATCCTCCTCTTCATATGAGCTGTCGGCCTTAATATTGCAGTCCCCTTGCACAAAGTTGTCCGCAAACACTTCTAGTGAAACTGCTACCGGGAAGCGGGACCACAACTTGCGAAACCTGCCGTCTATGTGCTTGTCGTCATCTTCACCGGTTTCCGCAAGTTTCGCCGTCTCGAAGCCTGTCTTGCCGATGCAGCAGTTGACCACTGTGTCCGTCTTCACGTCTCGCCAGGCATTGAAGATCTCCGCAGAAGAAAACGCGGAGATTTCCAGCCACCCTTTTGTGATCCACTGCTGGGTGCCCTAGCTGCTGACAGCTTTGCCTTTGGCAGAATTTGTTTTGCCAACAATGTTGCAACGCTGCTTATATCGATGAGTCCACCCGCTGTTGTCGGCGAAGTTGTTTCGCCGAGTGCAGCGGCAAACGATTTTGCCTTGGCGATCAGCATCAGGCCATCCACCAAAATATTCTTCGCGCGCACTTGTAAAAATCAGGCATAGAGTGTCTTTTCTACATTCCCGTGGGCAGAAGGGCGACATGACAGGCTACCGACATTCGCTGCTTCCCTGCCTTTGCCTTCATATCTGCCTTGTTTTCCAACAAAGTACTCAGAGTGTTACGTGATTGTTGGGCTCGAACTTCGTGCGTTCCCCGAATACCTTATGTTACCCACCCAGCGGCCGGCGACCCCTCGCCAACAAGGAAGCAGGGCCACCGGAATGCGGGACGATGACTGTCTGCTGGCCACAAAGGACGCGACAACTCCCGTGCCCCTGTCGGGCTCAATTATGGCGCCTTACAAGAGACCAAGCCAGGCTGCAGGTGGCCGGTACACGTGGAAGGTACACGTGGAAGGTACACGTACGCGTCCGCCGGACAATCAGAATCAGTGGAGGCGACGACATTGGCGCAGGGGCCAATTGTATTGATGGCCTGTCAACCCGACATCGCGGGAACTTACTCGGAGGCGCTTTTCCACGACCTGGCAACGCCCGTCGTCGACCATTCCGGGAACCGGTGTGAAAGAAACCTGGGCGACGGCGGAGAACCGATGAATGGGCAAGAGGCGGTGGGTCTTCGAGGTTGTGGCGAGGAGAGACACATCTGTGCGTTTTGATTAGACTATAAGAGTGGTGCGTTACGATTGGACTGGAAGAGTGGTTGAATGGGGAGCCAGGGGATAAAACCAGGGGTGCAGGGACAGTGGGGAGAGAAGAGAAACGAATAAACGTCTCTATATCCAGATGATGTCGGAGCGGTCGTTTCCTCAAGGTGCCAGCAGATGAAAAGTTCTCGTCTTCGGCTTCCTTGGCGGCAGCAGCAAATGTCGCGCAACAAGCGAGAGGCAAGTGGAAAGAACGAAACGGAACGTAACTGTGATATTCCGAAGTCGTCCGCGACGGTCGAACAATTCTCGCCCCCCTCAACATGCTGAATAGCATTCAACTTCGTCGCAAAGTCAAGGGTCTTGCGGTTCTTGAAGCTGGACATAGCTACATGAGAAGTTGACAATTCAAGAAGTTCGCAGCAGCTATGTACACTATGCATGCAAAAGAGAAATGCTGCACATGCGGTGGTACATAGGCGACGGGACAGTGGAAGCAACAAAGCCCTCGTGAGGCGATGGCCATCTGCGAGGGCAACAGCAAAAGGCGCAGCTGTGGTTGGCTGATAAAAACTAGCAAAACAGCAACAAAATAGAAAAGGCAAAAGAAGGAGAAGAGTGGCTCCTTCGTACCTGCTCTCCAATTGGACGGATACAGGAGAAAGCATGAGAAAGAGAACAGGAAAAAAAAACGTTCCGCAAGTTAGAGATTGTGCAGTCCAAGCCCTCTCGCCCTTACCTTTCTTCGAGCCTTTCGAGCTTTGGCAGAGGCGTAATGCCGCATGGAGGTCGCCAGGCGCTATGACTGCCAAAACGCACCTTCCAACTCGCGTGCGGAGATCGCGAGGGGGGGGGGGGGGGCAATTGCTGAAGTGCAGCTTCCAGCTCCGCAGCGTTCAATATATGTGAAGACGGGTAAAAATTCCGTTCAGTATAAACGTGCAAATTTCTATACTTTTACAAAGGAATTTCAAGGGGATAATTTACGAGTTCAATAGAGCGGAAAATTCTATATATGTGGGTTCAATATATTTGTGTTCGACTGTATGACAGTCGCGCCGTTGTAGATGCTGCTATACTGAACGAAAAACAAAAATATATAAAAATATAATAAAAATATACCATAGAGCGAGAAGGATATATAACTCTTCTCAGTAAGGCTTTGCAAACCAATAACCTGAAGAACTTGCAGTGTCACTGCAACAGTAAAAGCATAAATGCGATAGTTACAAATTAGAATATTATACTAAGTAAGGATTCCAACTAATACATTTATAGCCAGCCTAGCACTACGAAGCACTGCTGTAACAACATATGGCCTCTTCAAAGAGGGAAGTGGTTTTTATGCTGTCTGTCGTCTCCAGGCGAAGTAAGCTAAGACAGCACAACACATAAAATAATATGCGAGTCATCCACTTCATTATCTCTGTCGAGATAGTGTATATGCTATCACTCTACCCCGTGCTTTTGAATGCGAAGCATTTCTTAGCAAACTTCGGCGACTTTTAGCATATCTATCTATCTAGCCGCTTACGTTTGGGTGCTCTCATGGTCACCCACTTAACTTGGCGTGAAACAAAATTAGCATGGGAGACTAAGATGGTTTGACGAATATGACATGCTCGTCAAGACATGAATACAGTAACAATCCTGTCGCATACGTCGTCAAACACTTCCTGCCAGATAGTGCCACATACCCATAGGCGGGTATAAGCTGCGGGAACATGCTGCTGCCATGCGGGTGTGTGCCACAACTAATTGACACTTAGTATCTACCCAGGAACGACGAGAACACACATAGGCATTGTCAACGCGCGAGTGTAAAGAAATACCAGACATTGGTTGTGTCGACCCGAGGATTGCAAAAAACAAATGTCGGGTCCTAGCTGGAACTGAACTGAAGCACTCTGCGTGGCAATGAAACATTTTACCACAGAGCTAGGCCAGGTCTTGGAACTACTTTTCAAATAGACACTAATGTTCATGAAACATGAATAGTGGCTGCAGTGCTGATACCCAACTTTTTTTATAAATATTCCATACGTACTCCTTTGATAGAGCCATCATGTCGAGTTAACGTAAATTATGGTTAGTTGCCATGTGCTCAAGTTGATATGTGTAGCGCTGTTCAGGGCTAGCACCCTCGTGAACATCAGCGCTTCATATCAGCTTCTGACGTTGCTAATACGCATGTTCTAGTTGGCATTGTTGCGCAAGGGCAAACAACTGATTATATAAAAATCTGGTAAATAAAAATCTGGTTATTAAAACTCCTTCACGGGTCTGTGCGTGCAACATTTGAACATACATTTATCATCATTTCATGACACGTTGCTCAATAAAAAACACCACGCCTGCGCGGAAGGTGCAGCACAGTCACAACGAAAGCTAGAAGAGCGGCCTTTCAGAGCCTTTTCTAAACACTCATTAGGTAATTGTTGCTGATGATTGCGAATTGGCTGCAACAAGAACCAGAAAGTTGTAGAAGACAAGGTAGAAGTTAGGCACGAGCAGTAGAATAAAGGAACGTTCTTGGGGTAGGGCTCGAATCTTGAATAAGCGACATCTTTCTGGTGCCGAAAACTCCCCGGTCACGCCCTTCCAAGACTTCTATTTCCGATGGCGTCGTTAGAGCGGCTGCGCGAGAACCATGGCGTCATCAGGGCCAGCGTCACACGAACTATCACGCTCCTGATAGTTCGACCAAAGTTCATTCTTTCATTACTAGTGAACTGATCACTCGAAATTTTGTGTGGTACGAGCCTGCTCCTATTCGCGCTGGCGTAAGTG